TTATAGGTGAAGAACACTCACCGGGAAAAAAAAGTTGTCATGGAGTTGATGGTAATTCTGATCAAGCTCGTGATAATAATAATAATAATAGTAATACAAAGTAATTTCTCTATAAAACAATAACTGATAGCAGAGATGCAATAGCTCGATGAAAGTAAACAATATAACAGAAAGCAATGGGCTATAAGCTACACAGCTTATGAAAAGTGAAAGAAAAATTAAAGCCATCTGTGAAATTAAGTCCACATTAGAAGGAATATAGAGGAGGACAAGAGTGAGAAAGCAAGTGTACAGGTGCACTAAGAGTCAAGAGGGGCTAGAGAGAATGTGATCGACATGAATGATGAACAATAGAAATCCAGCATATGATTAACTGGTGTCACTAGCAAATAGAACCAAAATGAAAAACAGAGAATGTATTCTAATGTCATGATTAAAGAAAAGCTTCCAGAAATAGAAGAAGGCTTAATTTTATACATTGAGAGGGAACACTACATCCCAAGGGGAGGAAACATTACAGCGAACAATCAACACCAAGACAAGTTCCTGGCCTTTAAATACAAAGGAAGACTTTTAGGCAGGCAAACAAAAATATCAAGGGTGACCAACTGCCAGATTACATCTGTTTTCCAGGTGTAATTATTTATTGTGCTCCCTTTCACTCTCAAAAGTGTCATGATTTAAACAATAAATTATAGGATTCATTTGTTTATATAGAGAGAATAAACAGCGGAATGAGAAAGGCATGACTTCAGACATCACCACAGCAGCATTCAATACTAGGAACTAGCTGAAAAACAAAACCCCTAAAACCCTCTAATGAAGTTCTCAAAAAAAGAAAGTGTAACCCCAGGAATTTTATACCCAACTAAACAGCCATTCAAATAAAAATAGAGCAATCTTCTTTGATATACATGAACCAAAGAGTATAATTCTCTGAGTCCTTCTTGAATAAACTACTGGAAACAATCTTTAGCTAACTGAGAAAGAACTGTAGCATTTGTGCCTGAATATAAAATCATCATTTGTTTCCATTTGCTACAATATGATCCTGTCTTTATTCCCTACTTTAATGTTATCACAGAAACCAACTGTCTGACTTGCAAACAAGGAGTTATCCTAGTCACCCACCTCCCTCATTCCCACATCTAATCAGACAGCAAGTCTTGTCAAACTGCAAAGCTTTCTCTAAAAGCTTTCCTTTACTTTCCATCTCTATCGCCAATCTTTAATTCAGGTATGAGTCACTCTTGTCTGGAGAATTGCAATGGTCTACTAATTGCAAGAGTAATTTAAAAACATTTATCAACTGGCATGGCACAGGCACTGGCCAATCAGAATGGATACAGCACACTGGTGCTTTCAGCTGCCCTTATAGATCAGCACTTAGCCTGTTCATTCACTCGATCAAGTGCTTGTTGGGCACCTCAGACACTGGGCTCAGTGCTCCACATACAGTATTGAGACAGAAATGGTCCCTGTTCTTATGAGACTTCAATAAAGGGGACAACAAATAAATACGAATTATAAGGACACAAAAAAGTTTACTTAAAGGGAATAAGTAAGGAGGGGTGGGAGTGGGGAGGAGGGGGCCAATAGAGGGGGAAAAGGATGGACATCTGTAATACTTTGAACAATAAAAATAAATTTAAAAAAGAGAGAGAGAGAATAAGTAGGAAACCTGCATGGCCAGAGGTCAGCAAAGGCCTCCCTGAGTAGATGATACTTAACCTGAAGCCTGAAGGATGAGAAGGCACCAGTCATGCAAGGATCCAGGAGAAGCACAGTCTAGGCAGAAAGCTGGTCTTCACAGAGAAAAAGCAAAACTACAGTGGCTTTCTCAGATTAGTGCCTAGAAATAGCATCTCACCCACTTAAACAAAGAAAACAATCTGTGGTTTGAAGAATCTGTACCTTTGTAAAAAGAAATGAGATAATCCAATTGTAAGTATGTTTGTGAGTAGTCTGGTTGAAATTAATGTTTAGGATCACATTCTCCTAAATGTGCTTTGTGAATTTCTTTTTGCACATCTTTGCTCACCATGGCCTTCCTATCTGCAGTGCTCACTACCAACATCTACTGCAAAATTCCTACCATTCTTTGAAGGCCTGGTGCAGCCTGGTTTTCCCCTTGGAAACTTCTCTGACCACTCCAACCCTCTGCAATCACCGTCTTCTCTGAGCTCCTGCAGCCCTTCTATCTTTTTGTGCGAGTTCTTTTCTACGGATCATTTCCTTCCAGGAGCATGTGCTTGCCTCTCTTCCTATGATTTAAGAATAGGCATCAAGTCTTTGTGGCCAGCTTCCAATTTTTTACTCAGTGTTTGATAGATCAGTTATAACATTTGTTCGGCAAGCCCTTTAAAATCTAAGTAGACCACCCATGTATCTCAATAATTCTTTACAACTGAAGCCCCACGTAGGAGTTGAAATCATTTGAGTTTTTATGAAGAAATTTGACTGATGGGTATATAGATAAATACATACAGAAAATGGCCTAAAATCAAACATATTCTCTCCTCTCCTTGAGAATCCCTCAGAACACTTGCTATGTAAGCTAAATCTGCAGTAAGATTTCCTCAACCATAGCTTAGGGACTAGCAGTTTTGAGAAAACCTCCAAACTTAATGAAAAAAATTCCCAAACTAAGTTTTTCTTACTTAAAAAAAAAAGGCAAAGTTTTAAACATTTTTACAGTACAAAAATTTTATTTTTTGTTAGGATAATTTAAACTTTAAAACTGAAGTAGGCATATTCATTTTACAAACAAGATATTCTTTCATAAGTAAGACCATTAAAAACAGTAAACAAAAAAGCTGTCTTTACAAAAAGCTCTGTGCATAGCAACTTTATACTGTATATAACTGACAAAGCAAAATGAGAAAAAAAAATGAAACTATACAGTTGAAAATGAGACCTTACTGTACAAAAGGTAGAGAAGATAATGGTTTTTAAACCATGCATATTGAAATGTGCAAAGAAAAACTGGGAAAAAATACGATGCTATAACAAAAATATGAGATAAATAATGAAGTAAATTGTCCCTTTAAATGAAAAATCTTACACAGCTCCTCTTACAAAGATAGGATAGAACTTGTAGTTACCTATAGAAATACTTGCCTTCCAAGTGGCACAAAAATAACCTGGGACCATAATGATTCAACAGCAATGACTAAACAGGACAGAGTAGCTTTGTTTTAAATTTATTAGTACACTAAAAATAATCCTTACACACATTTGTACAATTAAATAAGTTTGTTGCTGCCAAGGTTCTAGTTGAATGGTCAAGGATTTCTGGTATTTAGTTACACACATTTTTTCGGTGTAAAGCTACCAACAAATTCTACAATCATTTTGAAGACAGTACTGCACTCATCTTCATGCAAGAGAGAAATTCACAGATTCTAAAAGCAATGCTACTTAAAAATACATTTCTTATGTTGGATTGGCTCAAATCCAGGTCTAGACATGCTTGACTTTGTTCTGCCCTGACTTTTGGATGGTAAGTTTGTGTTCCACACACTTTCCCCCTCCCATCCGATTGTTCACTAGGGAACTTTCTCTCATGTGTTTCCCTGTATTTTGGTGCTTTAAGCCCATACTTAAAACAAGAGTTATAAGTATGCCAAGTTTCCAAAACCTTAGATTCCCCTGTGCATAGAAATAATATTTGGGTCATATTGGGTAATTCTAGAATAGATTAAAGGCAAATAAGACTGTTGGGGTTGGGTAGTTGTGGGCATGTATCACTGGGGCAGAATTTACGAAGTCATCTAAAATTAGCTCTGATACACTAAAGGTGTTTTTCCATGAGAGCTGCATCAATTTATAATGTTAGAACCCCAACCCAAAGCCCCAAACTGGAGTCTGTGTATAGACTATATTGTGGTGCCTATGAGTCAATAAGGAAAACCTTAGCCTGGAAAAAAATGGCATCCTTATTGGAAATCCAAATAAGTCTGGATGCATCCCCATTCACACATAGGCTTTCAAGACTCAGCCACTGTCAGCAGCTCCTGCAATGTTTTTCCCCATCAGAGCCACTCCCAGAACTACAGAGAGCCCATCACAGCCCTGGATAACTGAGTTGCTTGGAATACAGATGCCCCTAATCTCTGACCCTGCTAAGAATCTGGGGTTCTGTGTGTGTGTGTGTGTGTGTGTGTGTGTGTGTTATTTCAGGATAGGGATTTAGGGCTTTTAACATTATTCTTCCATACCCCATCCCATTCTTGCCTGGAAACTACCAGGTTGATACATACATTTTTTCAAGAGAATTTAATGCCACAAAAGGGGAAATCTAGAGAGAGAGAGAAGAAAGGACTTGACATTCTAGGAGTCCAAGAAACAGAGTCACCTATTTCTGAAGTTCTGTGGAACTTTCTACCTCACTGCTGAACCAGGTAACCCAAGAGGAGGGAGTGTGTGGCTCTGCGAAGGATTCCAAAGGGGCCTCTGGGAAAGTCACGTGGCTTTGGCTCTTCTTTAAGGTGAGACTCTTTTTCCCTGGGGTGCAAAGCCGGAGATGCACTGAAACATGGAAATTCTCTGCACTGCTCATGGAAGAATGTTGAAAGCTAATATAAGTTCTTAAAATTTTTCACAAAGTGAATACCAAAAGGGACTTGTAGACTATTTAGAAGGCAGATGAGGATGTGAATGAATTGATGGGCTGAGTATGTGTGTATTTGCATGGACTCAAGTCTTTGTTTCTGTGTTGGGTTTTCTGTAGGAATCTACATCAGGCACCTGTTCTTGCCCATGGTCAATAAAATGATGGAAAAAGAAGGGGATGCAGGATAGGGGAAAAGAGTTTAGTAAGTAACTGCAGTAATAATCACACACCTTTTAAACTTGTTACTACATGTTTGCATCAGTTTCATTTTACATCAGAAAGAGAACTTCCTCTCTTCCAAAAAGGTCTTAATTTCTACCTCTACTTACAATAAGTTACACGTTTATTTATTTAAATAATTGTAAAACATTTTAAAATTTTCCCTTTTTTTAAAGAGATTAAACTATAAGCAAACACACATACAACAACATTTCATCATTTAATTCAGGTTTCGTTTTAAGAAAGTCTTTCATGCTGGTACCCTGTTTTGTTCAATTTTTTCTGCATAAACTAAATTGGTATCTGAAAGGCTTCATAGAAAATAGAAACTTTCAACTTTTTTTTTCCTACAAAGAAAAACAAATAGTATCCAAAATATTAAGCTTGAATTGTTTGCCAATTTTTTTTCCTAAATATCTTACAAACATAGGAAGGTGGTTCTTATAATGTTCATAACAAGGAATTGCATTTCTGCTTTTAGCACTGACCACATCAATGACATCTTTTGTCCTTGTCCCCAAGAGTGTCAGTTTGTGTAGCCACCATTAGAGCTACACGAGAAAGGTGAGACCAGGTAAGACGCAGCTCCTTGTATACCTAAATCTGTCCATCATGTTCATTTTGGGGGCACAACTCTCCCCAAAGAGCTAATAGTGCTTTCTTCATTATTGGTCCATCAGAGTAAGTAGTTTTGTGCTATAAGAAACCAGATCTTCCTCTTCTTTACATCGGGGGCACAACAAGTCCGGTCATGGCTGCGAGAAAAGAACGACATAGGAATGAGACACAGAGGCTTTTTACATTAGAGGCCATAATCCAGAGAGAGGGGCAGGCAACGGGATTGACAGGGTCTGATGCAATCCAGGAGGATGGTGCCCTTAGCCGCCATGTGAACACATTTTCTACAGGTTTGGTCCTGCAGAAGGCTTACAGAGCACTGAATTACAAACAACGCTTGTTTAAGTTTTGCTTGGGAGGCCGAGAGTTACGTTTTGTTTTGTTTTATATTAATGGGTTGTTTATACAAGATAATGGGACATAAACATGTAAACTAAATTGTACACATGTGTGATATATTTTTTAATATTAGACTAAGATAATTTCTAGATTATACAGTTACAGATCACTTAGTTGGAACAGGAAACAATACTCCAGGGGCTGAGTTTTTTGAATTACTTACGAGGCATCATTTATAACAAATCAGACTTTCTATCCATCCTAAGTTTATACCCATTCTAGCTGAAATTTGATGAGCTATTTCTTTACCAGCTCTTCTTCCTTTGGTGCTCACTGCTACAGTGTGATGCTCGGTCACTAATAAATGCTGGTCCACTGAAACAGAAGGTTTAATGTAGTTCCTGATTTGAAAGTCACTTCAATTGCCACTCTTCATCCCCTGCCCAAGTCCAGTATCTCCTGCATCTAGCCAAGAGGTTGTGGACAACGCCTATCTGGGTGGCATCAGGTCCCAGGTTGTCCCCCTTGATGTGGGAGATAAGCCAGCATCAGCATGGTGTAGAAAAGTCATACAGAAAACACTCCTCCGCCTTGACTTTCAGGTGATAAACCCATAGAATTTCACATTCTTGGAAGCTGGCAGAATAGTTTTTTTTGTATTAAAATTTCAAGCCATATCTAGAATTTGATCCTTTAGCTGTATTGTCTATATCTCATCTTGGGCTTATCAATTAGCATAGAAGCATTTTTGCTTAGTGGTGCTTACTAAGCTTATAAACAAATGGCCAAAATTCTTTCTACTTTCCCCAACATGCCTGTCTCTTCCAACTCCTCCTCTTCCCCCTTCTCTTTCTTCTCCCCCTTCTCTCCTCCTCTCCTCCTTCTCCTTCCCCTCCTTCTGCCCCTCCTCTCATGCCAGCTAGTCTTCTCTGGCAAAATTGTCAGCCGTATAGTTCCCTGCCCATACAGCTTTTATTGAATGCTTGTGAGATTTGGATTAAGGTCTTACACAGCTAGCAAAGTTTTAATTATTTTTGCCTGTATTACTATATATTGAATCAATGTAACTTTTCAATAAAGGCAGTTCAATTCTGGACACTCCCTGATGATTTGGAGATATAGCAACCCTGGTAATTATCCTAGAGTGTAGAAGGTTTTCTTACTTTATTTTATTTTATTTTTTTCCTGCAGGAAGCTGGAAAATGAATCAGGTGCCTAGTGCATAATATTATCTTGATACTCTATACTCATCAGCTGTACATGCCTGAGAGATGCGGTGGAGGGTAGGACAATAGCACTGCACGTACAGCCCTCCAGTAGGGGGAATCTGGCTCATGTTTTTAACTTAAACTTGTCTCTTGCACTTAAAATTCATCAGCCCCTTCCTTTGTCTGGGTCCTCAGAGAGTTACCCACAAAGCTTATTAAAAGGGTAGAGTCACTCAAAGAACCAGATCCAATGCATGCCAGAGAAACAACAGATTTTACATGTTTTTCCTTCTTCCTAGTCTCACATCGGTCACTGGGTGGGTTGGATCTCTGCTACATAGTGACCCTGACTTTTTGCTTGTAGAAACCATACCCAGCAGACAGATAGCAGAATTCAACTGCAGAAAAAGTAAGCATTTTCATGGGGAGATGGGGGGAAGTCTTAGCTGTATTTTGTCCAATTCTTTTGACTGTGGGAATTTCATGGGAAAGCAATAATCCCCCTTTGGTCCAGGTGGGAAGCAGGTATGGCTGACAGGTGAGAGAGGAATTGCACTATTCTTGTCCTCAGAGAGACAGTGGGCTGTTAGAGCACAGGTTCCAGAGTCAAAATGTCTGAGGTCAAGTCATCAGTCACTTGCTACGTCGCCTTGGGCAAGCTACTTAACTGAAAATGTATGAGATAATGTATAGACTTCCTCTTTGAGTCATATGTGAGGCTTGAACAAGACAATTCATGTAAAGCTCTGGGTTCAGCATCTTGCATGTGGTGCTCAGTAAAGGTCAGCAAGTATTAGAGGGTATTGGATGCACATGTCTTCTGCAGAGGATTAAGACCATCTCATCTTACAACAAGTTAAAGAAGAACTTATCCATCAGCTTGTGATCACCTAACCAACTCAAACCACATTTTTACTTTCCCACTGTCTGGCTCTAATCTGCAATCCTGGATTACTTCATTCAGTGACTGTGGGTAGTGCATTCAATGTCAACTTGGTTGCACCAATGGACACCTTGTAATGTTGAGCCTTGAGCTTGTATTCACTGGGTTCAAAATGACGAAGAGTGGGAGTCCAGGCCTCCGGAGCTCATCCTTTGTCAATCCCACCTTCTCTCTACTGGTCTATATGAAATACCCTTTACCTTTCCTGATCTTCACAAAATTACTTCAGAACAACCTTTGTAGATAGTTTTCAGCTTTCCTATTTAACAGACTAGAAAACTGAGGCTCTCAGATGATAATGACTTGTACAGATTTACACTACCTAGAAGATAGGTGAGCTAGAACCCCAATACACATCTGATAAAGTCAAGTCTAGTGTTCTTCCAGTGGCTGATCCCTTTGGGGTTCTCCTCAGCACTCTCTTTTATTTCTCCAAACATTACTTTCTATTTTCATAATTTTTTAGTCTACTATCCTAATTTAAGTACTTCCTCCTCTTCCCTTCCACCCCAGTCCTCCTCCTTCTTCTAAGGTTAAAATCACCAGAAAAATTTGGAGAAAATTGTAGAATTCAATAAAGGCTCAGAATCTCACAATAATTCTATAGGAATAAAACCAGAGCCCAGAGCCTGTGCCAACATGTAACCAACTAACTTATCATTCCTATAGACATGATTGAGAATGTGTAGCTCACACAATACCATATACAGATGGTGTATTACAGAATGTATGCTTGAAACCTATATAATCTTATTAACCAGTGTTAACCTAATAAAGTCAATAAAAATATTGTTTTAAAAAATGTGTAGCTCAGCCATTCCCTCAGCCCAAGCATTCTGATCTGTGGTAAGCAGCAGTTCACACAGCTGAGGACCCTAGAGAGGGTCTTCTGGCCATTTATTACTGTTGTCCTGACAGGAAAATTTCACTATGACCACACAGACCCTTCAAACTATTTGGGTCAACCCAACCTTGACTGGGTAACACCATAGGGAAACTTGGGTATGCACCAATAGGCAGGGTGGGGATTCCAGGACATGGGTGCAGTGAAAAATTTTTCCTGGCTTTGGTGAGGGCTGAGTTGGATAGGCCACTCAGGTGGGTCTCCCTGGACAGGGAAAATCTGGAAGATCTGAGACAACCAGCTCTACTTCCCCAACTCAGTGCTTTGTGAGAGAGGAGGTGTGGGAGGGGTGGCAAAGGGAAGTGAAATTATACTTTTTTCCCCTCAAAGTGAAGCTGAAAATAGCTGTAAGGGTTGCCTGGAATGGAGAGGGCCGCATCCCTCCACATTCCTCCCACACTTGGCAGTCCTCTTTAGCCTTTCTTGGGCCTCTCACACTATACTTTCCCTTGAGACCTGTGTGGGCCCCCCCTCCTTGATATAAGGGACATGACTAAAACCAGAGAACTTGGAAAGGGGAGACATCATCACTGCAGTGGTCGTGGGAAAAGGGAAGATACAGCAAATACTCAGCAATAATTTTCATGACCCAGCCTGGAGGTGAAGCCATCATGGAAAAGATTCTGAGCATGTGCCCTAATGATGGGACGGACACCACAATTTTGAGAAGAGATGGGCAGGTAGACACCTAGCTGCAGGCTGAGCCTGTTTCTCTATGAGTAAAAACATATATATATATATATATATATATATATATATATATATATATATACACATTTTCCCTCAAATATACAGATGTTTCCAACTACTCACATGTCGGGTGGCCTGCAGACCCAACGGCTTTGTCTAATTAGAAGAAGACTTTTCAGGGACTCTTCTGTGTGCTAGGTTTTCAGTTCTCATTTGATAGTTTCTCTGTTAAGTCACTTGACTTTGATGAGACACCATCATCTCTGATATTAGGATGGGATATAAACCTAACACCTCCCAGAGCTCTGCGCAAACACAACCAGTGATGAACCCTCACAGGTGTTTCCAAAGGGTCAGGAAGCCATTCACTATCATAAAGCCACTAGGCAGGTGCCGTCCCAGGAACAGCCTAGCTCATCCAATGCTCTGCTGACCTCAGAGGCCTTAATCCATATGGGGTTAACCAAACCTCTGCCCATTTTGGTTTTATCCAACACTGTTGGTCATGAATGTTTTCATGTCAAGATACAGAGAACAGCCTAAAAATAATGTGGGTCGTCAAGAATCCACAGCGTTCAGCAGTTTCCAATTTGCTCTTTTACCGTCAGCTGCTTCCCATTCACACTGAGATGATTAGATTCTCATGTTCTCATCACATTTGTGTTACATCGTGTCATATTATATTCTAAGACATTGCTCAAAAATGGGTTTGATGGGTGATTAATTTTTGTTCTTAGACACAGTATGTCTTTTTTCTTTCTTCCCTACCCCAACCCCATCAGGCACCTGCTATCAATTTGATTAGCACATAACTAGAATGCTCAGAACTTGCTGTTGTTCCTGATGGAGCCTGTGCATTTGTGCCAAGGGAATGTGTACGCCCTGCAGATGGCAAGCTGATTAGGTAATCAGTAATCACCATGTGGCACCAACATGGTGATCAGGCACCTTCTAGGAAATAGTGACATGGCCTTGCGGTATGCAAAGGTCTGGGGAGTGGGGTCACTGCTGGGGGTATGTATGGCTCTACCACAGTTAATTCCATGATCTTGCAAAGCTGTTCAACTTCTCTTTCCCCCCATCTTGCTCGTGAATGAAGTATGACCCAGGTATACAAGCCATTCATGTACCATGATGAAAACAGCAAAACACCTCTTTGTAAGTAAATTGGCTAGAGATACAGCATGAGGCCGCACTGCTTGCTCTTATTTTGCTGTCCCTGTGGCACATGTGTCATCTTTCCTCCCAAAGCGGAGCCTCTGCTTACCTCTGAATCCATTCCCATTGCCACTGGAGCAGGCGGGCGAAGGGGAGCCTTGGGGCCTGATGACAGGGGCAAAGGCACTCTTCTGTTTGACAGCAGGAAAAACTGAAGAGGAAAACGGGAGGATAGCAGACGTGCTGGAAGAGCCAACAGTGGGACTTGATGACATGACTGGAAAGCAAATGCACAATCCTCTTTAGAAAGGACGTATTGAAAAGTTCAAGTCTGTACATATAACCTGTACACAGTTATTGAGAAATTACTCATTTGTTCCAGGTATTGTTTCAGATCCCAGGGATTTTAAAATATTGAATGTAATAATGTCCCTGCCCTGTTAGTGGGAGGAACAGAAAAGAAAACAACTAAGAGGGTAAAAATTTAATTGGGAGAGCGTACACGTGCTACACAGACAGGTGGATAGAGTGCCTTCTGCTGGGAGAGTTGGGAAGGCATCAGCAGGACATGATTTTATGACAGGTCTGATTTCATGAGTAGAAGCTCAACAAGGGAAGACTAAGACCAACATCTGAGAAATCACCAAATCTACTCAAGAACAGAAATCTCTTTTTCATCCTAAAAAAAACTCCTGTCTTGGAGCTATGTACTTCCCTGGCAATTCTCAGGGCTCCAGAGTTTTGAGGTATAGGGTTAACATCTTCTCAGAGAGAGCCATCTCTGTGGGCCACATCCTCATTAAATGTAAAAGTTTATTAACATTTAGGAGATTACTTCCCCCTCCCTCTACTTTCAGAGCTCCTGGGAAATAAAGCTGCGAGTCAGCCTCCTCTGATGTAATGCGAAGAAAAAACACCAATATTAATGTTAAAATTACTTAAAGGAAGCCAAAACCTAAGTGTTGTAATTTCCAAAAAAAATAAATAAATAAAGTAAAATAAAGGCAATTTACACAATGAAGTGCCACACCTCTTAAAGTCAGATACTCAAGTTACATCACACAAGAAGATAATTTTTAATAAATCCTTACCTGAGGATATGTTTTTATTGATTTTAGAGAGAGAGGAGGGGAGAAGGAGAGAGACAGATAGAAACATCAATGTGAGAGTGAAATATCAATTGGTTGCCTCCCATATGCACCCCGACTGGGAATTTAACCCTTCACCTGGGTATGTGCCTGACCAGGAATTGAACCCAAGGCCTTTCGGTGGTGCACAGGACAACACTCCCACCAATTGAGCCACACTGGCCAGGGCACAAGAAGATAATTTTATCTTCCATATTCAACTTACTCAAGAATGGGGTAAACTGAAATTCACAAGGGTAAACTGTTAGATATAGCATCTTAGAGTAGAAGGTCAAGTTTCATGGACTCCTTTTAGCATCCTCTCCAGAATTCCGAACTGTCCAACTCACATGCCTGGGTAAAAGTATTACTGGAACCCAATAGCAAAGCCCACGACAAAGTCTGGCAGTGCTAACTAATCTTCTCCACAAGTAAAATTTGAACGTAAGGACATGAGTGTGACTGATGGCTCAAAAACCAAGTACAAGGTGAATTGAAGGTCAAATGTTCTGATTTCCTATGTAAGATTCTATCCCACTTTTGCTTTTCTCATTGTAAAGATATACTTCAGGCTATACTCACACAATTGCATATGTAATGCAGTCATACAGCATACCTTCAATATGATGTCTTTTATAGCCACACTTCAAACCCACGTCTTCACTAAAAACGAATCTAAAAACTGCTTATCTTTAGGTAGTACTGATTTAAAGAGCTATGCAGAAGGAAGCATCCAAATACACCTCTGTCTTTCCTCAAGTAAAATGAATCAAGAGAAAAAGCTGGAAAGGAAGACAAAGCTTCAGAGGAGTCTCATGTAATACTTGAAGATGCAAATGAAGAAGATATGGGGCTACACTAGTGTTAGAGGATAGGATAGAGGATTAAGCCATGGGAATGAATCCTAGTCATTATTTAAGCAAAATCTCCTCTTCTCACCTTGGTTTTAGCAACAATAAAGTAAGTAAGAGAAGGAAGGGAGGAAACCTCTCCCCTTTCTATGAGGCACAAAATTAGAGGCCAGAGAAAGCTGAAACTCAGGAGGCCCTGATTCTGACCGCGGTCCAATGTCTGCTGTACCGTGTGATCCATGCAGGCTCCAGAATGGTTTCTATGTCTGCAATAGCAGGACCTCTCTTCACACACCACAACAGAGGAGAATTTTTATAATGTGAATCAGGCACACACATGCATGCATGATTCCATTCTTATTCAACACATGATTCACTTTTACAAATATTTCTTTTCTCATAACAGATCCAACCTAAAATGGGTTGATTCGATCAAATGTGACTCTCTCTCAGTGGAAGGGGAGTCACCTGAAGCTTTACTAAATGACGTAAAGAATTGTTGAGAGTTGAAAAAGCAAAGAGCTATAACATGCCCCATTCAAAATATTTTTTACAAAATTTTTGTGAAATGCCAAATTACATCCTAATTAATTTAAAATTTAATGCGACTATAATAAAATCTTAGAAGGAATTTTAATTTGTGTGGGTCAACAAACATAATTTCTATGTTTATCTGTTTAAATAAACAATAACACTATAGGAACCAGGAAGTTTTGTAAAATATTTTTTTAATAGTAAGGAGGTATTTATCTTAACATATTAAAACTTATAATAAATCTGCATCAATAAAATCAGTGTTATACTAGTATAAATATACGCAGACAACTCCTTGGAGAAAATAGAATCCAGAAACAGACCTAGGTATATATTAGAACTAAAATTTAATAAAAGTGACATTTCAAATTAGTGGGCAAATAAATGCATGGGAACAATACACTCGCCATTTGGAGACTAAGTTTACAGTGCTTCCTCATGTTAAACACTGACATCAAGCTAAGTGGATTAAAGAGTTATTTGTAAAAGCAAAAATATAAAGGTGCTAGTGGACAAATTAGGAAGGTTATATAATTGATATAATCCTTTCAACCACTAAGCCTATACAGAATGTCAGGAGATAGATTTGATACATGAGAAAAAACGTCTGTAACACACAGAGAAAAGGCAAATGACAAATTAAGAAAATATTTGTGATTATTATCAGATGTGTTCATATCCTCAATAGCTAATATGTTTTTATAAATTAATTAGAAAAGAAAAATCTCAAAAGAAAAATGGGAAAGGACACAAAAAGGAAAGTCAGAGGAGGAAAAAGGAAAATGACCAGAAGACCTTTATAGACTTATAAACGTTCAAACTGATTCATAATCAAATGCAAATTAAAACAATACTGAGATGTATTTTCCACTTAGCAAATAGATAAACATTAAGAAAAAATTAACAGGGCAGGGAAACATACTCCTTCTTTCCTAAGGGGAATGTTAACTTTTTTGGAGGGACTTGGGCAATAGGTACCACAGTATTTGTATTTTTAAATGTTCATATTTTTTAACCCAGTAATTTAATTTCTAGAAATTAATTGCAAGGAAATAATCATAAATGTGCAAAAAATAGATCTAAGGGAATTTCTGTAATTGTGGAAAAGTGGGGCTTAACTGAAGTGACCATCAATAAAGTTCATGAAACAGATGACCATGCAAACATGAACACTGATGTTGGAGAAGAATATCAAATGACAATATGTCTAGATGAATAAAGCAGATAATATAATAACATAGATGGCCAATCTACTTTTATTTTATTTTATTTTATTTTATTTTATTTTATTTTATTTATCCTCACCCAAGGATATATTTTTCTATTTATCATCAGACAGAGTGGGAGGGAGAGAGAGAGAGAGGGAGAGACAGAAACACTGACCGGAATCAAACCCGAGACTCTTTGGTCCACGGGCTGACACTCCAACTGATGAGCCAAACTGGCCAGAGCCCCACTTTTACTTTTTAAAAAACTTACAAAGCAGAAGTCTAGAAAGATGTGATTTACGTCAAAACTTTAAAACAAATTCTCACCCAAGGATATGTTTTTATTGGTTTTTAGAAAGAGAGGGAAAGACAGAGGGAGGGAGGGAGAGGGGGAGAGGAAAGAGAAGGAGAAAGAGAGAAACATCTATGTGGGACAGAAACATTGATCGGTTGCCTCCTGTACATGCCCCAATTGGGGATCAAACCTGCAACCTAGGTATGTGCCTTGACAGGTAATCGAATCCACAACTGAACCCATATGAGATGACACTCCAACCAACTGAACCACCAGTCTAGGGCTACATCTAAACTTGTAATGATATCTCAAACTGATGGGATTATGAATATTAAATGTATTCCTTTTAGTTGTCCATATTTCTACAATGAACATGTATTACTTTTGATGTAGCAGAAACCAGTAAAAGCTATTAAATAAACAAATGAAAAAAATTTCTATTTCTTTGGTAAAAAACAATATAATTCTTAGCAATAGGCATATAGCTGTCTTGAATGTTAATGTTCCTCTTCAATTTGAGGCTTTACTTCCTGTAAATTTGGTTTTCTGTTTACCTTTCTATTACAAAAAAGCAAAGAGACTAACACATTTTAGAATTCCTGGGGAAAGCTTGTTGACTGTAGTTAACTTTGCAAAGCAAACATCACTCCTAATATCTGTTCTCCAATCCTAGAACACAGGTCTGACCACTGACAGATTTTATGGAGCCTGGCTTCACATCTGTAACTTGGGTGATTTTGCCTCTTTTATTTTACTCTCTCTTTCATTGGTCTTATGGTGGAATCTCATTAGTTGTGCATCAGAACAGACACCGCAGTTTTCAAAATGGTCTGTCCATGGTTGAAAGGCTATACTTTAAAGTTAACAATGATTATCTCTGCATAGAAATAAAGGGTGTCATTTCTTTTCTAATTATCTATAATGTTTCTATTATAATTGGATATTTTTCCTTCCTGAAGAAAAAGACAAAAGAAATATATCAAAATGTTAACAAGGTATAAAAATTTTTTTTTTTTAAATTGATTTTTAGTGAGAGAGGAAGGGAGAGGGAGAGAGAAAAAGAAACATCAATGTGAGAGTAAAACATCAATCAGCTACCTCCTGCACGCCCCCCACTGGGGATGGAACCCAAAACCCAGGCATGTGCCCTGACCGGGAATCACACAGGCAACATTTTGGTGCACATGATGATGCCCAACCAACTGAGTCACACTGGCCAAGGCAACAAGAATTTTTTTATGGTAAATTTAAAAAATAAAATGAAAAATTACAGAGTGATATTTGGTGTTTTCAGACACAAGCGACTGAACTGATGACATGCTTCCCCACCCCCCTTTTTTTGGTGTGTATTTGCCAGAAAAGTTAAGACTTAGCTGGTTAAAAATTAGAAATACAGGTCAGATGCTATTGTAATAAACTCCATAGGGTACTCAGTCTTTTGGCAGTAGAGGATTTTATTGTAATGAATTGATGAATGCACTGCTTGGATTCCCATTCTCAGTCTGTAATTCCTCCAGACCCTCCCTCAGAAAATGAAAGTGCAAGGATCACAAAGACTGAGTATGAGCTAGGAGAAGGTTCTCTGTTGTGTTTCCCAGTCCCGTTGGGAAGCGTGCCTTCCTCATTCTGTTCTGTGTATGCTGTCTTGTTTATTTTAAAGATTTGTGGTGTCATCATTTTTCCTGTGGCTGTGGAATTGAGTAATCAAGAAAGGGTAGTGGAAGGAAGGTGTCACTTGCTGGTGTGGGAAGGATTCCATCCTATCAAATGAATTATTGGTAAGACACATCAAGCAATTAATACTCAGTGGACATTTTCATTCATCTACTCAGTATCTATCTATCTATCATCTATCTATCTATCTATCTATCTATCTATCTATCTATCTATCTATCTATCATCTATCCTCTCCCTCCCTACTCTCTCCGCCAGCACACACCACTCCTTGTCTTTTTTTCTCTCTCTCTCTACATCACCACACTACAACTATATTATTATAGTGACCATTTTTTATATGTTGTTATTGATTTTAGAGAAACAGGAAGGGGGAAAGAAAGAGAGAAATATCAATGGGTTGCCTCCTGTATGCATCCTGACTGGAGATCCAACATGTAATTTGGGTGTGTGCCCTTTGGTGCATGGGATGACGCCCCAACCAATTGACCCAGACTGGCCAGGAATTGATCATTTTGATCTACAAAAATGACAATTTCATATGGTTCAACTTAATGTACATATTTTTTTCATAAGTGTATGCTTGAACATGTGAAAATCAAAGAGATCATTTCATATGTTTCAGTCTAATAATATATTATAAATATGTGAAATATCTCTAACATTATTGAGTAATTTAAAAACATGGTATTTTGAATCTGATGACATGTTCTAGTCTCATTTTTACTATTTATTGGCTATGAATCCTTGAGTAAGTGATTTAATAATGGTTAATATCTTTGAGGGGAAATGATAATAATAATTATTACTATTATTATATCCACGTCATAAGGTTGCTGGGAGGGTCTGACTGGATTGCATATGTGAACATGCTTTTTAGGTTGTAAATTGGAATGGAATAATGAATTACACTTATTGTTGTCATCACTGCTAATGTGAAATAATTTACACAATGTCTCTCTTGCCCTGTATCATGTGTAGGGGCTGTTGATGATGTGATCCCTTCTGCAAACAGGGTCCCCTTTCCACAAGGATGCATGGGAGAAACCTCTCCAAGGTCTCAGCTACAGAAAAATCAATTTTATCCTGAGCTACTAAAAATATATATATATATATACAGTGGACATTAAAGCTTATAACAAATAGTGGTCCTCTCTTTGCTTTACCATCTTGTAAGCCTTTGAACCAAATTAACGGCTCCCTTGAATGACCGAATGGCATCCATACTTGCCTATGGCTTCATATAATTTACCATATTTGTTCTTTTATCTCAGTTTCTTTTATTTTCTGTCTTATACTTTCATACTACCCATCTGACCCCTAATATTCTCTCATTTTTGAAACAAGATAAGGTAGAAACAAATGAAGAAAAAAATAAATCAAGCAACAGTTTTCCTAGATCTTTCTGATCTAATTGATCTGGACCATACACAAGACACAACACAGAACTCATGTCTTTGGGGCAAGAATAATTTAGTTGTTGTAGAAGAACCAACCTCTACCATCTCTGCTACCTGGTTGCTGTGTTCTTATCACACTGAGTAGAGTGTTGAATGTGATGAATCGAACAGGTATCCCAGAAATAATTTATGGGTGTGTGTCAACAGGGAACCATAAACCCAAAGGCTGAGAGGCAGCCTCCAGATCCTTGGCATGTCAATTCCTGAGCTGTGATGGAAGTGGCTGTATGCTGTCCTTGTCTTGCCCTTGTTCCTGGCATGAGGGAACGCTCTGGTGAACAGGTGGTCTGCTACAGAGCCTGCAACAAGATCCAGCATTTCAGGAACACCCCATTCAATCACTTAGACTCTCCATGGTGGCTTTTCCCCTGGCCTGAAGTATTCCCCTAAGTAGGTTTGAAAAACATACTTTCTCAGCTTGTGTAAGTTCCCAGATCAGCCCTGAAAACAACCTGAATGAGTTTTTATAACTTCCTAGGACATTTAGCTTGCCGCTAGCCCACAGATCAGGATTAGGAGATTCTGTCTCTCCATTCATCTATTGATGGACCCTAGATTGCTTCCATATCTTGGTTATTGTAAATAATGCTGCAGTCAACATAAGGGTGCACATATTTTTTCTTTAATTCTACCTGAGGATATTTTCCCATTTATCTTCAGATAGAGTGGGAGGGAGAGAGAGAGAAACATCGATGTGAGAGAGACACATCGATTGGTTGCCTCCCACATGACCCCAACAAAGTCTGGGGACTGAACCACAACCGAGGTACATGCCCTTGGCTGGAATGAAACCTGAGACTCTTTGGTCCATGGGCCGACATTTTTACTGCTGAGCCAAACCAGCCAGGGCAGTATATATATATATTATATATATATATATATATATATATATATTAATGCTTTGGGTTTTTTTTGCATAAATACCCAGAAGTGGAATTGCTGGGCCATGATAAGTTTGCACAATGACAGATGACTAACTTAGTGTGGTGATCACACTGTAAGATACATAAATATTATACACCTGAAACTAATATAACAATGTATACCAACTATACTTAAATTTTTAAAAAGGGTTTTATCTCCATGTATCAGACTCTCACAAGTGTCAAATTTCATCTCTCTAGAACAGCAATTTTCAACCACTGTGCCACAGAAATTTTTAAAACATGATGCCTGACTATTTAGTCAGGTGCACTGACCTCTTTTCCCTTAGATTGTCAAATAAACAAGTGATAACAGCCAACACAAGAATAGCTATCCTGTGTGAATAAAATAAAATTATTTTATCTATATTTTGTCAAATGGGCAAAAAATATATTTTTTGATGTCTCGCAAAATTTTAGCAATGAGTTTTTGTGTGCCATGAAATAAAAAAGGCTGAAAATTGTTGCTCTAGAAGGAGGAGAAAGCCATGTAAGGAAGTAAGACGGGAGCTTGGTGTGATACATAAAATAACTGAAGTCATACATTCTGTGTCTAAATGTTTATCCTGCTCTATCCTAGCTGTGTGATCTCAGGTAAGTCAGTGAATTGCTGTGCACCTAAACCTTCTCACCTATAACATGTGATAATACTGACCTCAGAAAGTTCTTATGAGGATTAAATAAAACATCACATCTGAAAATGTCTATTGAAGAGTATAAATTAGATGAACTGAAATGGAATCTGAATTCCTTACTCCCATCTACACAAGCCACATATGCTTTCTTTCTCTGTAAAAAAAAAAAAAAAAAAGAAGAAGAGTTTCACTCCTTTCCTCTCCCCAAAAAGGCTTTGAGTAACTGAAGGAGCTAAAGTCCAGCTAAGGGAACAGAACAAAAGGCAGGAAGGACATTTCATCAGAAAACTGGGCTTTTCCTCCATGAGTCAGTAAGATGTAGGAAGGCAACTCTTCCTCAGAAGGCTGGACAGTGAAACCCAGGGACAGAGGGACAGGGAAAGGGAAACAGTGGAGAGGGAACTTACTTCCATAAGGGGAGCCTGTGGGGGAGCCGTTTAGAAATCCTGGTGACCCCGGAACACCTAGGTTGGCCATGGGGACGTTGCTGTAGCCATTCATACTGTTACTGGAGGTGCTGTAATTAGACTGCTGAGGGGTGGAACTGGAAGAATAGCCCCGAGGAGAGATGCTGCTCGTGTTGCGGATGTATCCTGGACAACAAAGAAAAAGCCGGGTAAAGGAACCAGTGCACACACAGTGCACAGCAGATATGGCAGCACAGACCTACATTGATGCCAGACTACAGAGCACCACCGAGCTGAGCCCATACAGGGGGGGAGAGTATGCATTTTGCCTTCATCCTTCTATACTTTCCTTCCCCTTCCCATCCTACACAAGACCATGTTCCTCACAGTCCCTCCTTCATCTTCTTTTACATTTGCAGTCAACCTCACCAACTCATACCAAGGAATGAATGACTAATAGCAGTGTATGCTGACATCTCCCTAAACACATTTCATATAACACTAGAACCCTGTGAGATATCAACAAGTATTGCTGAGAAAAGTGTTGTGTGGTCAAACAAAGTGTGGCAGATATTGCCTACTATAGCCATTCCTTGAAGTTTGGCATATGAAGGGCCTAGAGAATAACTAAACTGGTTTAACTTTGCTAACTTAGTATTTCCCAAATTGAACACCCATAGCATCTTTTCTGGAAGTGGTGGGGAAAAGGCATTCTAATAACATCTCAAAGGCCACTAGTATTTTACAGATCATAGCTTTGGAAATGTTCAAAGTTATATCATGCCCTGGGTGGGGGTGGGAAACGTTTTCTTTCAAAAATTGTTGATAAGTTCATTTAAATGTGTTATTCTTTGACCAAAAACTTGGAAACATCAGCAACTGAGTTTGGGTAAATCCAGCTTGTAAGTGGGATGGGGAAGGGACAATGAGTCCTCTCTAGATTCTGAAATGCTAACACAGAGACATGACCTAATCTATCCTGAAATAACCCACTTTGGGTAAATTGTCTCTAGATCTATTTAGGAAATAGCCAAAATTTGAAGAAAAAAAAAGTAATATTATATCTCACCCACCCTTCTGTAAGAAATCACCCTGGACATGAGAATGAGGAATTTCCATCCAATGAGTGAACAAAATTAGAAATAAAACTGCCTCAAGGTTAGAAATATTATTAAGAATATTTATTTCTAAAAAATGATTTATAATAAATTTAGCACTTTTCAATCTCAATGACAAAAATGTTTACACAACATACTTTACATGTTAACTGTATAAACTTGTTGCTGTATATTTATATATGAGGTAATTCACACAAAAAAATTAACAAATAAAACCAAGCCATCTAACCTTGATTACTAGGAAGAGAGAGTTAGGTATAAACAATAATGGCAATAACTCAACTTCTTTCCATTATTCAATCTAATGATCACAATGGTAGAATTATAAATTTTATTCAAATAACACCTGTAAATCAAGTTTCAGTAAGCCTAAACCCTCCTAAAATCATAATAGTCAATTTGATCCTTAAGTATTTCCAGTTAAAGGTATTCTACCTGGTAGTTAAAAAGCTCAAAATCTAATAATACACCGCTTATAATATTGAGATAACTCAATACTATGTGATTGAATCGCTTATCTGGGGACACAATCATCTGATGGCTTATGAATCAAGCTTTAACTCCTTCCAAGCAAAACCAATCTTTTAAATGTATAAGTTGTTTGAATTTTGACTCTGAGAAAGGTAGTACCTTGATTATTTCCCTGTGTTGACTCTGAGATGCTGACTCCAAGCTGGCTGCCATAAGAATTGATGCCCATCATGCCAGTGTGAGCTGGAGAGCTGGAGAGAGCTGGTATCTGGCTGGGATTCCTGGGGACACTGTAGAGGGCTTCAGCAATATCTGCAGCTCGCTTCAAAATGATGTCCTACAAAACGGCAGGTTAAGGTGAGCTTTTTATACAGCATAAGGTCAAACTCCATAGAGTGAGTATAATGTGAGCGCCTAACCTGGTTATTGTGTGGTGTGCCATAGAGGGCCTCCACCAGATCTGCAGCTCTTTTCAACAGCATTTCCTGGAAAGGAAAAAAAGAGTGAGGTATAAGCAAAGGTAGAACCCCAAATGGCAAAGAGAAAGGAAAATTATGTATAAAAATAAAGTCTAGACATCCCACTAAAATGTAAATAAGTAGCCAAGAGGTGCTATACTTGATTTGAGAGGTAGAATATCTATCTATCTATCTATCTATCTATCTATCTATCTATCTATCTATCTATCTATCTATCTATCATCTCCCTCTATAAATATGTATCTACATGGAATTCATCTAGATAAAATGGATATATAAATGGTAGTACTATCAAAACAGAAAACAACCTAATTTGAGGTGGAATTGGTTAAAATTAATCATGTAATGAAAGTTTTATTAATAACTACTTTCAGACCATTTCATTAAAAACTCTGGAACTAATTACCCAAATATTCTTAAAATGATTGATTGACCTGTGTTTAGCAGCTTGCCAAGGAGTTGTCCATAGTACTGAAATTATCTTGGCAATACGTTCTGCAAAATTTTATTCTAATAAAGATGAATTCTTCCAATAATATTTCCCTTTGTTCACTTTAACCAGAGAGAATTAGTATTCAGTAATCCCTTTCCTCTCGTTTCGTCTTTTCCACCTCCTGTTTTTAAGAGCCTTTTAAATTGCTATTAACCTACTTTCCAGATATCACCTAATTTAATAGTGGAGCTAGGGATTTTTCCAATTGAAAAACAATGGTGTGATGTAGGAGAAACTGTGGTACTGAAATTTTACCCACAACACAGAAAATAGAACATGGCATATTATAATGTGTATGCTTCAAATGCAAATATAAATATTAAAATTTATTAATTTCCCATTAATTGAAATAAACCTAATAAATTAATAAACCTAATAAATTAATAAACCTAATAAATTAATGTATCTTTTAAAATAAAGCTAAAATAATTGGCTAGATTTATGATATAATTTTCATAGTGAGTTCATTTAAAAGTGATGAATTTCATAGAAATCGTACATGGAGGAGTTTTGCACTTCATTAGATGCATATATATAGAGTAAGCCCTCAGTGAATACTTGATTGTGGACTAATGTGTCTCTAAAATTATGAGTAAATAAAATTATATTTAAATACAAAGAAGTGGGAAATTACACTTTTAAGCAATTATACAATTATTTATTTTCATCAAGTTGGCAGTGTTTGTTATAAACTAAATACACATAGTGTATCTGTTTTATAGGCTCAAGTCTTCAGATTTCAGATTTCCTCATAGATTAATTATAATATATTTTACAGTTAGTAAATATTTTATGTGCATCTTATATCTCAAGCTTAGCCAAATTTCAAGACTTAATTTAATTTTCGAGGGATTTAAATTGCTGGATTTATCTAAATTTGCTGTAATCCTACAAGAAGGTTTCACATGTTAATTTCCAAAGTGTTTTACCTTAGCTAATCTCTCAGGGTCTCCAGGATGCCTTGGGATGACTTTCTGCAGCCTCTGGAAACCATAGTCAATGGTGGGTTCATTTAATGCTGAAAAATAAAAGTCTACTTTTTGAGTATGTATCCTGGCCATAAAGCAAACTTCCAATCAAATCTTCTGTAGGTAATAGGTTCTGATATTAGCTAAGAATTGGTACATAATGGCTACAATACAGTTAAAGATTTTTGTTATTGACATTGGTTAATTCACACTTATACCTTTGGAGTTAAGAGTAATTTAATTTTTTCCCATTAGAATGAGATTTCAAAATTTCAGAATTATTACAATTATTTTATCACTTCTGCCTTAAGTGCGCACACTTGTAATTTCTCTGCTCAGTCTCACATAATCAGAAATATTATACAATTAAGTATTCCCAGTTTCTGAAAACAACAAACTACCCTCACATGCTTTTTCCTTCCTCCCCTCTTCTTTTTCCCAAGTATGCCTTTATCACCTATTAGTTTTTCTCCTAAATATCATTAGTTTGTTTCATGAGTTTGTTCTCATTAAACCCTGTTCTTATGCATAATGCACTTTCAGATTATATTTCCAATTATATTTCATCACATTCACATTTGTTTAATGTCAGGCTCCACCATATACTGCAAATTCCATACTTGTTTTGCTTCTCCACTGTGTTCTCACTGGTGAAGACAGTGCTTGGCACACAGCAGGCACTTAGTGTCAACAATAGTAAAGTGAGTAAGTAAGTGAATGAATGAATGAATAAATGAATGACATATTTCAGCATTTCTACTATGCCAAAGAGTTTCTGAAGTAGATTCCTTTATCCTTCTTCCTCTCTTCCTTTACTTTCTGAGTTTGTGGTTTAAATTTTACAGTTTTAAAGACAATGCATGATCAAAGTAAAGAAAAAAGATTAAAAAAATAATCACCTGCACTCCCATTAGGTACCAGTAAACACAGGAGGTGTATTTCCTTTTTTAAAAAAATATGTTTTTATTGATTTTTCAGAGAGAGAGGAAGGGAGAAAGAAATAGAGACACTGATGTGTGAGAGAAACATCCATCAGCTGCCTACTGCACACCCCCACTGGGATTGAGCCCCCAACCTAGGCATGTGCTCTAACCAGGAGTCGAACCAGGACCTCTCAGTCCATGGGACAACACTCAATCTATAGAGCCACACCGGCCAGGCCATGTATTTCCTTTTTAATCTTCCTTTCTGCATGTGTTTTATGAATATTGTTGCTATTACTCTAGCAAAACCACACCTTTTCTTTAAAAATATAAAAAATTATGAATATAGAAGTAAAAATAAAATCACTCATAACCTCACCAGTTTAGAGATGATCTGGGTCAATATTTTTACTTATATCCTTCCAGACTGAACACACACACTTCAAATTATTCAGGGACATACTATTCATACTGTTACATAACCTGCTTTTTTATCCATTCAACAATATATCAAACTTTCCCGCAGGTTATTAATATTTTTTATAACATTATATAATATCTCTGCATATTTTTTCACACATGGTCTATAACTTATTTAAATAGTTTCCTAATGTTTGGCACTTAATGTGATCCTAATTTCTCACTATTATAAAAATCACAGCAATAATTATTCTTTGCACATAATTGTAATCATTTCAATTAGAAAATTTCAAAAATTAGAAGTATTTGACCAAAATTTATGATTATAGTAAGGCCTTTCATACATGCTGTTAATCACTCCTCAGAAGAAAGTACACATTTATATTCACTTCAGCAATGCATGTCATCATTTTACCTTACATTTGTTTATTCATCAATGAAGTTGAAATATTTTTTCTTATACTTGGTGATGATTTTAATTTCTTCTTTTATGAACTACTTACTACTTATTAATAGTTTCTGCTCTCTTTTCTATTGGGGATTACGTGTTTTCTTTTCCTACTTGTAAAAACACTTTAAAAAAAATCCTCACCCTAGGATATTTTGCCATTTATTTTCAGACAGAGTGTGAGGCAGGGAGAAAGGAAGAGAGAGAGAGAGAGAGAGAGAGAGAGAGAAACATCAATGTGACAGAGACACTTCGACTGGTTGCCTCCCACATGACCCTGACCAGGGCTGGGGATGAACTGCAATTGAGGTACATGCCCTTGACTGGAATTGAACCCGAGACTCTTTGGTCCTTGGGTGATGCTCTAACCACTAAGCAAAACTGCTAGGGCTAAAAACACTTTTACGTTAATATTTTTAATACTCTGTCACCATGTTACAATATCATATCCCACTTTGTCCTTAGGTATTATATGTAGAAAGATCATCCATCCCAACTCCAAATCTGGTAACTACATTGTGTGTGTGTGTGTGTGTGTGTGTGTGTTTATACATATATGAATTCTTCTTTAGGTCCAAAAGTCAAATGTGCATTGCTAATCATATACAGATATGCTAATCATAAATAGATAATGTTTTATTGTTCATTTTTGTCTTTTGCTATATATTTGATTTTTGTTGTTCATATTGTGAATATGATTACCCTCTTATCACATTTTCTAAGAGTTTTCCTAGAATCTAGAAACACTTTAGGTTTTTATGTCTGTGTAGATAATGTGTGTGAGAGTAGCACATGGCAATATATGGTCGAGTCATTAAAAGAATCAGCTTTAGAGTCAATTAGATCCTGGGTTTGAATTCCAGCTCCACCATTAATCTGAGAGCTCCTGTCAAAGTTAAATGAAACAATTCATATAATTTCTAACACCCTTCTTGGCACATGAAAGATCTTAATCAATTGTAGCTATCTGTTATTTTGTATCCAAATCCTTGATAGATGTCATTATTTTTTGTTCATTCTTAACCTTGTACATTAATAGTGTCCACATGTAATCATATTTTGTCTCCTTTTGATGGGCACATTAATCCAATTAGTTCTCTTTATCCCATTCTTGTTTGGCTAACACTTCCAAAATAGTGACTAAAAATAAAGACCATGGTGGATATTTTTGCTTGCTTTCCTCTAAATGTCACTAATGTTTCACCACCAAATGTGGTGTTGGTTATTTGAGACATATTAGTTGGCATGCTGTGGTAAGAGATTTCTATCACAATTTCAGAAAATTACAATCCTATTAATTTTCTCTTTTCACCAATTTATATTGTATTTTATGGTAGATTTCCCAGTATTTTCACAAGTAAATGTTTATTCATGGGTGTAATATATAATTTACTTAGTATATTTCTGGATTCAGTTTCTTAGTATTTTCTTAAGACTATTAGTGTGACGCCCTGGCCGGTTTGGCTCAGCGGTTGGAGCGTCGGTCTGCAGTACAGAGAGACCCGGGTTCGGTTCCCGCTAAGGGCATGTATCTCGGTTGCAGTTTGTCCCCGGCCCTGGTTGGTCGTGCGGGTGGCAGCCACTTGATGTGTCCCTTCACATCGATGTTTCTCTCTCTCTCTCTCTCTCTCCCTCCTGCTCTATCTGAACAAAAAATGGAAAAATGTCCTCGGGTGAGGATAAAAAAAAAAAAAAAAAAAAAAAGACTATTAGTGTGAGGATTAAATCAACTAAATTACTGAGCATAGTGCCTGACATGTATTTTCAACAGTGTCTGTTATTATTATTGTTGCTGGGAATTTATGTGTCTGTATCAATTATTGGGATTGTGTGCATGTTGCTATTCAGCTTCTGATTGATTTTTATTTTATAACACCTTTGAAAAGTAAATTGAAAAGCTTTCTATATTTTATCCTATGCTCTATAAAACTTATATAGCATGGATATTACCTCTTTTTTTTTTTTTTCCTCACCCAAGGACATTTTTTCAATATTTTGGTCAGATACAGTGGGAGGGAGTGAGAGAGAGAAACATTGACGTGAAAGGGACATATCGAGTGGCTGCCACCCGCACGATCAACCAGAGCCAGGGACAAACTGCAACCAAGGTACGCACCCTTGCTGGGAACCGAACCGGGTCTCTCTGGATCACAGGCCAGCACTCCAACCGCTGAGCCAAACCGGCCAGGGCTGGATATTACCTCTTGACTAAAAGTTTGAAAGAACCCCAGTGAAATTTCTCTTGTCAAAGTCACCAATAACATTTTAGACAAATCAAGATATATTTTTTTCTTTCTTTCTTTTTTTTTTTTTTTTGGTGGTACGTGCCCCTAGCGGGAACCGAACCCAGGACTCTCTGGTCTGCAGGCGGACGCTCAACTTCAGAGCCAAACTGGCCAGGGCTATTTTTTTTCATTCTTAAACTCAAGTTAGCATCTGACAATGGAAATGCTCTCTTGCTGGAAATACTTCAACCTGGACTTTCCTGAATACACATTGCCCAGTGTCACTCCGACCTCTTTGGCCATGCTGTCAGCCTGCTCAGAGGACTGCTCTTCCTCAGAGTGTCTTGCAGATGCTGATGCTCTTCAGAGTAGTTGCCAAGTCAGTCTTCTGCTTGGCTCTGCAACTGCTGTAGAAACCTCACCAGTACCCCTATGATTTCTATATCAAGTCACATGCTGACTATCACAAATCTATATGTCCTATTCAGATAACTTGCCCAAGATTCAACCTTATCTATTCCAACTATTGACTGGAAATTTCCAATTGGATGGCCCTGAAAATCCTCCCATTTAATATACCCCAAGCCCATGCAATTCTCAGTAAACTGTCCACCAGAATGCCAATCAAAAACCTGGATTCATTCTTTATATCTCAATATCATATTTTCTAGGAAAATCATGCATGTCATCAAGATTTTAAATTTTCTAGCATCAATTTTATAATAGTAATTTGTTCAAAATTAGAATCTCTTATTTATGGTTCTCCCCCACTTCTTTATTTTAACTTACTGAATAGCCATATTTCTAATTTTATTTTCCTTTTGTTGCCAAGAGAATATCTAAACATCTCTAGGTGGTTAGGTATTAAATTTTTAACTATTTATTCTAGTTAATCGCATTGAATTAAAAAAAGGTGGCTTGCAGAATATCTGTGTTTTGGAATTTGTTAAGTATTTTGTGTATTAATACATTTTTTGTTCTGTGGGTAATGCTTTAAATGTATTATTTCATATATCTTTTTGATCATGTTACTT